TGTTGAACCCCTCTTTTAAACCCGCTACGCTTATGAAGACTGAGCCACACTTGAACATCACGCCATCAAAATTTTAAAAATCAAAATTTTAATTGAAAATATGAAAGCTATATATGACAAATTGTTGACGAACCGGTAGCATTTTTTAATTCACTTCTTGTTCAACTTTATGATGCACATGCTCCTGTCCGTCCAATGCGAATACGTCATCCTCCATCTAGACGACTAGACCTATTAGAAATTGATGTGCAGAAAGAATAACGCAAAGTCGAGTCATATCCAAAGAACGACAAGATTCGGGAAAAATATAGACTCCTGCGGAATTAGTGCAACAAGATGTGTAGAGACTTACGACGCCGCCACATCCATAAATCAGTACAAAACGAAGATCCATGTCGTATCTGGAACTTCTTAAAGTCTATAGGAGTTGGGAAAACACGTTTATGTCCTATTCCAAACAACGTTGATTTAAATTCGCTTAATCAGCATTTTTCTTCTGTTTCTTGCTTGGACAATATGGCAAAATCAACAACACTTACTCAACTTTCATCGTTTCCCACTCCTGACTTCTCTTCATTTATGTTTAGGGAATTTGCAGATTGTGATGTTAGGAAACACATACTCTCTATCCATTCTGACGCTGTCGGAAGTGATGATATTAGTCGTAAATTATCATTCCCTTGCTAGACTTTTTAACACCTATTATAACCCATATCTTAAATTTCTCCATATCCTCATCTTCTTTCTTTCCAATGGAAGGATGCCCAAATCATATCTTTACCTAAAAAAGCAATACCTCAAGTTTTTCTGAATATTTTCCTTATTCCTCATCCTTATCATTATCCTTATCCTTATCCGCATCTTTAGTCCTCTCCAATCTGGCTTTAAATGTGGTCATAGCACGACTAAGGCGTTATTAAAAATCACGGACGACATTCGCCACGGTATGGAGAATCATCAAGTCCCAGTTTTAGTGTTCCTGGATTTCAGCAATGCCTTCAATACTGTTGATCATGATATCCTGTTAGGGAATCTGCGTTCTCTTAGTATATCTCCAACTGCAACTTCCTGTTTCATAGTTATTTGTATGAGCGCCGGCAACGTATTCGTGTCTAAGATAGACTTTCTTCTTGGCTTGATATCGTAGCTGGCGTTCCATAAAGTGGGGTTTTATCTCCTCTTTTATTTGCAATCTTTATTAATACGATTACATCCCAAATATCTTCTCTCTACCACTTGTATGCAGATGACCTTCAAATATATTTACAAACAACCCTTAAAGACTGGACTGGACACGATCTTATGAATTGACGGTAAACCCTTTAAAATCCCAAGCTACAATTATTGGGAGTTCAAGAAAGATTTCCAAAATTAAAAAATGTCAACTTCCACCCGTTGTATTTAATGGTATCCTTATCTCATATAATGAAATATTTAAAAATTTAGGTATCCTTTTGGATTACAGTCTTTCTTGGACTCCTCAAATGAATGCAGTGAGTCGAAAAATTTTTGCAACATATGCTTCATTCCGGAGGCTTAACTACTTTTTACTCATTTCCATCAAAATTACGCTTGCACAATCTTTACTACTCCCTATCCTTGACAATGCTGACATTTGTTACCTTGATATCATCGAGGAACAAACTTGATTATCAAACTCGAGCGACTCCAAAATCTCTGTATACGGTTCATATTTGGGCTTCGTAAATATGACCATGTCACGGAATGCTGCACTAAACTCAAGTGCACTCCTCGACTTTTTATGATAAATCTTTTGCTGTTCTTGTAGTAAGACTGTGGAACTCCTTACCTAAGTCAGTTAAAAGGGCTCCATCGTTAAATATGTTCAAGAAACAGATTAAGGAACACTATTTGTCTCTTTAACTCCTCTCTTTTCCTCCTCTCATTTATGGTCATTGATCTACCTAAAGTATATTGTCATTTTAGTACTAAGTTAAGTTATTAAGTTTGTATTTTTTTACTATTATTATTATTATTCTAATTTTAAAGGCATAAAGTGATCTAAAATCTATTATAAAAAAATCTGCTTTTATCAAAAATACGCAATCGGCGCCGCTAGCGGTGTGTAATAAAATTATTTTACGATTTAACAATAACATCTAGAAAGAGCAATATCGTGTTTAGTTGTTAATATCGCCAAACAATCTCTATTCATTGATTTGGTCAAAATATATAATTAATAAACACTGTAAAATTTTATGAAATACCGTCATTTCACTTTCAATAACCGATTAATTTATGATATTATAAATTCTTAGATCTGACCAATACATATATAAAACTCTTTTTATTTAAACTATAAGGGTGATAAGAGTTTTGTACATACTAATTGCAATTTTTATCAGTTTATTTATTGATAAAAAACTAATACCCACTAAAACATTTTATAGATTAGGAATTAAACTTAGAAACATCCTTATTTTTATGATTTTCGATAGATGCTACTACTATCTATTTAGGTAGTAATTAGTCAGTATAAAATTCATTTATATCAGTAGATATAAAATGAAATAACAAAAACTAAAAAATGTACATTAGTATTTTCAAATCAATTATGAATTTAATAACTTTATAAATGCAAAGGAGACAAAATGTCACTACTTTTTGTCTTTTACGTTAGATGGTACTGTCTTGAAAAAGTGAATACAACAATAATATGGTAGATTGACGGACGTAGTTCAATTTATTACACAACTGTTAAAACTAATTTTGGGCTTTATTAAATATTTTATTTATTTTATACATAAATCGTATAAAATAGAAATTAACATCTAAAGGAAGGAAAATACTTAACCCCCCTTTTTTGAAGTTCCGTAATTGGATAAAAAGTAGCCTATGAGAAGCCCCGAGTCCCTAACTGCCTATACACAAAATTTCATGAAAATCTGTTCTGTTTGTTGAATCTTGAATACACAGACAGAGATACAGACAGAAAGACAGGCAAAAATTCTGAAAACCACTAATTTGGCTTCAGTACCCTTTATTTAGTCACCTGGACTTGTTTTTTCCAGAAAATATTATAATTACAGACACGATTTTTCTACAGATTTATTACAACACACAGCTGAACGCATGTTGGATTCAGATACGTAGTATCACTTTTTCACATAATATTTAGTTTAACTGAAATTTTTTGACCGACTAGTCAGCCATGAACTGACACGATTTATACAGATTTATATGAAATATCTCTTTCACTCGTAGCTAGTCTCCGAGAAATAGAAAAAGATACGTAATCACAACTTAGATATACATATATAAGTAGTTATACATATATTAAGATATTGTGCAATTGGGTCAGCAGTTTTCTGGCTGATCGGAGCATCAAGGTCGAAGTAGATGGTGCATGCTTCGAATACAAGCCTATTAACACTGGTTTTCCACAAGGCTCCTTGCTATCATATACGCTGTTTCTTCTGTATATAAATTATATGTTACTGGTTGTAAGTTGTAACACTAGTGATGCTTTTTAAACCGGCAAATATTAGCACAATATTTCTCGGGAACACGTCATCGAGTATCGGCACAAAATAGTTTTTATTTTTATAGGATTGGGTGACAAAAAAGCACATAGCCCACCTGATGGTAAGTCTTTATACATCTATCCCCGATTACGTATCAAAATGGAGACGTGTTGTCACCCGTGACGACTAAGATGAAATGTTTCAGGTATACAAAAAGTACTCTGTGATGAAATGCCTCGTTTCCAGTAAAAAGGGTCTCGGTCTACAATCACCATACGAAACACATCAGTATTAAGCTGATATTTTACGCTGGTGTTGGTTTTACTAGGAGTTATCCTCATTGTACGCTTTCTTCTCATTGTACTGTTTCTTTTGTTGCTTTCTTTGTTGATTGTTTACCACTGGCGATTTTTCCGGACCGATTTGACTTAGGGCCTTGTTGGGCCACATTTAATAAAAGAGGTTACTCTTTTTAAATGGCCGGCAACCGCGGGTGCGTTGAGATTTCCTCTATTACTGCACTTGTTCATGGGTGGCGGTCGACTCTTACCATCAGGTGTGCCGCATGCTCGTTTGCCCTTCTTCTAATAAAAAGGTGCGTATCTTGTACAGATTATTCTAGAAAATTATTGTACCTCTGTTACTAGATAATTATCTATAACTATACAAAGCATAATATGATTTAATTATGTTTTCACTTCAAAGTACACAATGTGCTTTCTTACGTATTAGTGAGGTTTTAAATATATATGCGTGCTTTAATAGGTATGCGGTCTTGGGTTATAATCCTATCAGTCGGGTGATTCAGTCATTAGGTTTTCAGTAGCACGAAGACAGGCAATTGGAAGTGCTTCATTCCCGTGTCTGGTGTCACATTGGTGTTCCATCATCGAACTGGTGATAGTATAGTAAGTGCACCCTGTACTTGCGCACATACTCTTGAAGTGAATAATCTTGTCCTGCACAGATTTTAGTCTCCTCTGAGACTGACTGCTATGACCAAGATTCGATATTTAATACATTATTATTATCATTGGACTTATAGAACCTGAAAAAATACTTAGTTTGATTACATGGATGAAGATTGAATAAAATTTTTAAGGCTGTTATCGTGTTTTATTTAAACTTTTTTATAAAAGTTAAATTATAATACATATAGTTACATAATCATCATTATGAATGAAGATTATCTAAAGGTCAAAACATAATTTTAGAAATCTATAATTAAGGAAATATTACCAAGTTGAGGATCAAAAATTATGAATAAATATATAATATCTACAATTTACCGTAATTATTTAAATCAAAGTGTATTGTTTCATGTTTGATGAAAGAAAAAAAGTTATACAATATTTTTCTCTTTGGCATAACCTTCTAACCTAACCGATAGGAGCGCCCGTAGTTTCATAAAGATAACAAATAAGAAGCTATTATCTGTTTATACTGGATTAATGTAACGTTGAAGTTATTTCTTGCCTTATAAGATGATCATTTAGCCAACTACTTGTTAGGAAAATGTCTGTAAGTACAGTGATTGCTATTGAGTAAAATTGTTATACCGATTTTTAAAATATGTATATAATTAGTGCCTATAAAGGAGCGTCTAAGTGAAAAACTGCGTCGTGATTGATTTTGTTTTGAGACATATTTCTTAAATGAGGCTAAGTTCACCATTCGGAAAAGGCACAACTGACTGATAACGCTTTAAATAATTAATAGAATTAGGCGTTACGTTGCAAAAACTCATTATAATAATTATTCACATCTAAACTATTCCATTTTCACATGTTCAATTTGTTTAGAGTCGGTATCAGTTATGGGGTGGATGTTTTCAAGAAGAGCCGTCCGATCTCCTGCGCCGGATGAACGATTCTTTAACCGTCGACGTACGTCTGTATCAGCAAGATATTAAAGGGAGCCATGCCTGGGCTCACGAACTGCATCTCTCTGGCTATATTTCTGACGCCGACTACAAATCTATTCAAGAAGGTTTAAAAAAGGTACGTGAATTATTATAAATGTAAATTATATTTATTTATATAACCGGTTAATGTCAAAGGTCTCAAAAAACATTGTAAGGAATTATTAATTATTACTAATATTTACATGTTAGAAGAGTAAATATTATCTTTTTCTAAACGGCCAGCCTAGCTTGCCAAAACTAAGTGCAGCGTTGTACCTTTAGTTTAGAGGGTCGTCGTAACATTTCTTTTCTGCCTAGGTGTTGGGTTAGTATTACTCTTTACTTCTCTTTCTCTCTTACTCTCTTCTCTTACTACGTATTTTCGCCACCTCGCAGCAGAATATAAAATACTCATACTCGTCAAAAAAAACGAATGTGCTTATGACCACACGACTGAAGTAAAACTTTAGCTCCATCTGTATGGATATGCATATATTAACAAAATATATATATATATGTATATTTATATATATATTTATATATATATATGTATATATATAAAAGTAAAGTTACAGCCTATATACGTCCCACTGCTGGGCACAGGCCTCCCCTCATTTCTGAGAGGGTTTTAGGGCAGGGAAGTGTCCGCCGCGCTGCTACTACTATCTAGATGTTAGTGCTGTTAGTCTATGCGACTCTTACAGCTTCATCTGTCTCAGGCCGCCGCGCTGCCCCAATGCGTGTTGGCGAACTTCACTTGTCTTCGAAATATTTTTTTTCTTATTCCTCAGACATGCAGGCTTCCTCACGATGTTTTCCTTCACCGCCGAGCACGTGGTAAATCAGCACTTAAAATTGCAATTAACAATTTCATTGGTGCCGGCGGGGATCGAACCCGGGTTACTCTCGCGTTCTGTTATATTTACAGCGAACGTTAACCGTCTGAGCTACCCCGGCTCTCAAACTCTTAAACATATATATATGTATATATATATATATATATATATATATATATATATATATATGTGTGTGTGTGTTATATATATGTAGATATGTTTATATATGTGTAATATATACATGTATATACATTATTAATTTTTACATATATTTAAATTTATTATCGGCTTCCTTCCATAATTTGTTATTATTCACCCGAAAATTCACAAAACATCAATTTAAAATGAATTTACAATTTTATTCATTTTAAACGTTGAATATTTTAATGTATTGAACAAAATATTAATTCATAAAATTGTTGCTGATCGGCTTCTTGTTCATGACGAGCTGCTGCCAATTCCAGATGAACAGCTTCCTGATTGGCCTGCAACTGACCTTGAATGGTGTCCAATAACGCAGCAATGATCCCGTCTAGCTGTAAGAATTGGTTTGGAGTCAGCAGTATGGCCCCTCGACCCTTTCTGTTCCTGTTGCCGTGCAGCATTTATGTCCGCTTGCCTCCTGGTCCGTGGAGTACGCTTTTCTTCTACCCGTAGTAGTATCGACGACTTCTGACACCAGTTATTACGTGCGGGTTGAGTAAAAATGCTGATTAGGATGAAAAATAAATGTGTTATTTCCACATAGCGTAAACACACGTCGTCTTAAATCGATAAGCTTCTCCAGTGAGGTCCTTAATAGTCGCAGATGTCGTACGTCGAATAGTCGTAGTATAGCTTTCCGAAGCAGAGTTCCCTTTCCAGTTCCCGAAATAACTAACACTTTTATACTGGATAAAATAAATATATAGAACTTTCTAGGCCAATCAAGGTCGTTCCACTCTTCCGACCGAAAAGTACTAGAACACTCGCGATAACATAACCATAATAATCCAAAGGAGAAAGGAGAAATAGGTTTATGCGCGTAGACATAGGGTTGCTTCTTGTTTACTTTAATAGTCCGAGCAGTACTTATTTTTATGCCTACACATTTTATTATTTAACAAAGGCCACTGACCATTATCGCCGGGAACATTCTCGTGCAATATGACGTAACTGACTGCCGTAACAATATATTTTATATGTGCCTTAATGGGTCAAGTCGTTCAGAGTTAAGCCGTCACTAACAGACACACCAACAATTATCATAAAAAGAAAAAAATTCTAGAAATGCGCAATTTGCCGCATTTTCGGAACAACCTAGTACTAGGACAATATTCTAAAGCAGCATTTTTTTTTCTAGGATAAGGGTGACAACGAGCACTCAGTTTTGTTACGTGGTAGTGCTATGCTGCTTTATTTATAACATGGGTTGACAAACGAGCACACAGTCCACCTGATGGTAAGTGGATACAGTGGCACATAGACATCCACATTTATTATCAATTAAGGATCAAAACATAAATGCGTTGTCGCCCCTGAATACTAAGATGGAATGTCTCGATTCCAGTGAAAAGGATCTCCGGTTCTCTACACTCACCATACGAAACACAACAGCATTACGCTGCTATTTTACACTGTTATTCTGTCAGAGCGGGGTCCTGCATTGGTCGAGCCGACCCATTCGTGCTACAACTATACTACTAATGTAGCTGCAACATGGCTCTACCACGTATAAGCAACTGAAAGCAGTGTTTTATAAGCTGTTTAAGCACAAGACATTATTGTGTTTTTATTAAGTTCTAATTATTCATGAGTAGAATACTATTTTATTTGATTTAAGGTAGAAGCAGAAATAACAGAAGAATTATCAAAAAAAGGTAGATTAGGCGACAAAGAGGAAGATATACACTCAGTGGTCGAGCGAAGATTGCAAGTGTATGCGGGTGAAGCAGCGCTACGTCTTCATACCGCCCGCAGCCGAAATGATCAATCCGCTACCAATACAAAGCTATGGATGTTAGCGTCCTTGCCACAGTTGCTCAACGAAATTAAAAAACTCATTATGGTATTCCGTCCTCTTTTCTATTCTCGATAAATCTGTTAAAAGTATATTTAAGCGTCAGTAGGACATCCATTCTTAAATGGCGAAAAATTACGGTTAAGTATGAGCCGGTAATTGTTCATGGAGGTCGATATGAATGACAAGCTCGTGGAAACTGTCCATGCGGTCGGAGCTAAGTTCTGCAAGACCCGCCACAGAAGAACACAAAAACTCTCCGATCACACTCTTAATCTCATGGCTGTTAGACGGGAGATGAGGCTGCAATCGTCAACAGATTTGACAGCCTACAGGCAACTGAACAGACAGATCTCCAAATGCCTGCGGCGAGACTTACGCAACTTTAATACTGCTCGTATTAAAGAAGCGATCGAGCGGAACCAGGGTTCCAAAGTCTTTGCCAGAGATCTGTCTGCCAGTAAGAGCCAACTGTCAAAGCTGAAGACTGAGTGTGGCAGCATCGTTTCCGGGACACCTGAGATATTGAGTGAGATTGAGAGGTTCTATGGGCAGCTGTACACATCATCGTTGGAGCCACACGCAAGTGTGAGTAACGATCCAAGAGCAAGTCTTATCCGACACTATTCCGATGATATCCCGGACGTCAGTCTAAGCGAGATTAGAATGGCTCTCCAGCACCTTAAAAACGGCAGGGCCCCAGGCGAGGATGGAATTACAGAGGAGCTTCTGAAAGCGGGTGGAACACCGGTACCTGAAGTCCTTCAGAAGCTCTTCAATTCCGTCCTCCATGGTGGCACTACTCCAGAGGCGTGGGGCAGAAGTGCGGTGGTCTTGTTCTTTAAGAAAGGCGACAACGCTCTCTTGAAGAACTATAGACCGATTAGCCCTGAGCCGCGTCTACGTACTGTTTTCGAGAGTCATTACGAATCGTCTCGCACGCAGACTCGACGACTTCCAGCCTCCCGAACAAGCCGGTTTCCGAAAAGGCTTCAGTACCATAGATCACATACATACCCTGCGGCAGATTGTACAGAAGACTGAAGAGTACAATCTGCCACTTTGCCTGGCGTATGTGGACTATGAGAAAGCCTTTGATTCCGTCGAAATTTGGGCGGTGCTACAGTCCCTTCAGCGGTGCCAAGTTGACTATCGGTATATCGAAGTGCTGAGGTGTTTGTACAGTAGGGCTACGATGGCTATCCGAGTACAGAACCAGAGCTCGAAACCTATCCAACTGCAGAGAGGTGTAAGGCAGGGTGACGTTATATCCCCGAAACTCTTCACCGCTGCATTGGAAGACTGTCCATGCGGTCAATGCGTTTTCAAGCTACTGGACTGGAAAGGATACGGTATTAACATCAATGGCGAGTACATCACTCACCTTCGATTTACCGACGATATAGTCCTTATGGCAAAATCGCTGGAGGACTTAAGCACTATGCTCAATGACCTCAATAGTGCCTCCCAACGGATAGGTCTTAAGATGAACATGGACAAAACAAAGATCATGTTTAATGTCCATGTCACACCTATGCCGGTAGTTGTTGGAAGCACTATGCTCGAAGTTGTTGACGAGTACGTTTACCTGGGACAAATAGTCCGACTAGGTAAGTCCAACTTCGACCGAGAGGTCAATCGACGGATTCTACTCGGCTGGGCAGCGTTCGGGAAATTACGACATATCTTCTCGTCAGGTATACCTCAATCTCTAAAAACTAGATTGTACAACCAGTGCGTGTTGCCAGTGATGACTTACGGATCTGAGACGTGGTCCTTCACTGCTGGCCGTATGAGGACGCTCAAGATCGCTCAGCGAGCTATGGAGAGGGCTATGCTCGGAGTTTCTCTGCGTGATAGACTCATAAATGAGGATATCCGTAGTAAAACCAGAGTGACCGACATAGCCCAACGGATTAGTAAGCTGAAGTGGCAATGGCCCGGCCATATAGCTCGAAGAAACGATAACCGATGGGGAAGAAAGGTTCTCGAGTGGCAGCCTCGTACCGGTAGGCGTAGTGTAGGGCGACCACCCACTAGATGAAGTGACGACCTGGTAAGATATGCAGGAAGTCGATGGATGCAGGTGGCTCAGGACAGTGCTTTGTGGCATTACTTGGGGGAGGCCTATGTTCAGCAGTGGACTTGTGAAGGACTGTAATGACGATAATGATGATGATGAGCCGGTACTCTTAGTCGTATGAGGGCTGCGTAAGAGAATCATCACGCCATTTCGTCTCGTGGTCGAACCGGAAATAGAATGTAGAAAATGCCAAAAAGATCTTATGGCTTCCAACAGATGGTGCTATAACCATCTCTTGTATGTTAGTCACAAAATAACCAGACCAGCGACAGGTAGATGCCTCCAAAAAACCTAAATGTATTCTTCATTAGCCCAAAATGAACAGCATTTCACCAGTTGTTGTTGCAACGCTGTTCGTTTTCGTATGAATAGTCTCTGAAATTCGTATTCTGCGAGGGGTTTTGTTGCCATATCATCGTATTAATTAGCAGAGCGTTACACTTCTTTAATATAGCTGGAATAGAGGCTGACATTTAAAAATTCTTAAAACGATAAGGAGCATTGTAAGAAAAATTAACTACTTTAAAATAAAAGTATTAAAGTACTGACTAATTAATTATATTATATATTGCGTCTAAAGCATGAAAGTAACATATAACCTTACTTTTCTAGCTATGAGTTACGTATGTATTAACTTAAAAATGGTAAAAACGCTTACAACTTCCGATAAATCACGATAACCCATCCCGAATACACTAAACGTGAAATAGATAATGGAAATATTGGACCTACCCACAGAATACTATAATACATACATAACAGAACGGGGGGTGGGCGGAGCCACTAAAATGTCACTAACACGTCAATGTCCCATCCACATCCCATCAGTTACTAAGTATTAACAAAGTTCGGGATGATCAACAAGTTAGCTCAGAAAATTACTGTTCCCTCTTCTTAAAATATCTAATGTTTTAGTAGTCTGGGAAGACTAACCTTAACAAAGAATTCTAATGCTTTACTCTCCACGCCGAACTGGTGTTATTTGTTTAATAATGCATTTAGATTTCTAGAGAATCTAAATTATAATAATTTATAATAATTACATTTTATTCATCATTCATCATTGCATCTTATCTTATTTACGTAGTTGTTTACAATGACTAATTTTGATTAATATTTATTTATTTTTAGGTTTTAGTGAATCGAGCCGCAACAGAAATAGATATTATTATCCCTGGTTACACCCATTTACAACGCGCCCAGCCAATTCGTTGGAGCCATTTCCTGCTCAGGTAAAATTTAAAAATCACATTTCGACCATTATTACGTTAATTCTTCTAACCCCCCCCCCCCTCCATAAATTGTCTCACAAGGATATTATTAGACCGCTACTACTTATACGATAAAATAATATAACCATTGAGTTATATTATGTACTACGTACTAGAGAAGCTATTCCAAACAAAAAATGTGCACTACTCTGTATCCACACATGTGCGGGAAACAGTAGAGTCGCGCATGCGTAGTTGATATAAACGCGCGAAAATAAGCATAATAAATAATTGTTTATTTAGAGTGTATTGTTAATCGAGTACATTTTTTTTAAATTGTAGTTTATTTTGCATATGTGCTAATTTAATATAAAATTATTATTAACACCGCTCCGCACTGCATGAATATCGAAGCCACAGTAACAGGTGTACGGATTGCAGTACAGTTCTGTTGAACATAGTGAGTGTTCGGCATGCAAAATCTAGTGCGTAGTACATATATATCGATGCCTATAACCACCAAATCTCTTACCTCACGGTTAAAAAGCATAATAGTGCGCAAAGCATAATAAAAATGTCCGCAAACAAAACATTTTTGTATGACTGTCTGTTTGTCCGTCTGTCCGAGTTAGTCCTAGAAATGGCTGAACCGATTGTAATGAAAACTTCACAAACAGATAGAGAGCAAAGCCAGAAGTGATCAAGGCTTTCGGAACCTTAAAATTGATAAAATATTAAAATTAAATAACGCCACATTAAATAGGCGTAATCGTATTCAGGCGATGCCGAGGTGGGTAGCGAGTATGTATATAATATACTGCTCGTATAATAGAGCCGTGGTAGCTCAGATGGTTAACGCTCGCTGTAAATATAACAGAACGCGAGTAACCCGGGTTCGAACCCCGCCGGCACCAATGAAATTGTTAATTGCAATTTTAAGTGCTGATTTACCACGTGCTCAGCGGTGAAGGAAAACATCGTGAGGAAACCTGCATGTCTGAGGAATAAGAAAAAAAATATTTCGAAGACATGTGAAGTTCGCCAACACGCATTGGGGCAGCGCGGCGGACACTTCCTTGCCCTAAAACCCCCTCAGAAATGAGGGGAGGCCTGTGCCCAGCAGTGGGACGTATATAGGCTGTAACTTTACTTTCGTATAATATGCTCAATTTTATAGTATATGATATTTTATAGTTATGCTTGGATGCTACGTGATAATGTTACAAGATTAGAAGAGCAGAAGAAACGCTTAATGCAATGTCCTCTTGGAAGCGGCGCTCTTGCAGGTTGTGCTCTGCCCATTGATCGCGTCCGACTGGCGCACAGCTTAGGCTTTACCGATGTCACACCCAACTCTTTATTTGCAGTTGGATCTAGGGATCATATTGGTAAACTTTTAGACTATTATTATAATAATGTCATCCAACATTACATTGCTATTTAACTTATATTTTTGAACACAGTGGAATTTCTCAACTGGGCATCAATTTGCGGATTGCATCTTAGCAGATTAGCGGAAGATTTGATTCTCTACGGTTCCCAGGAATTTGCCATGGTTCGATTCTCAGACCAGTACTCCACTGGATCTAGCTTAATGCCACAGAAACGTAACGCTGACGGTCTCGAACTTATAAGAGGTGCTGCCGGTCTGTTACTTGGTGATGCATTTGCATTCAGTTGTGTGTTGAAGGGACTCCCCAGCACCTACAACAAAGACTTACAGTCTGATAAAGAGATACTATTTCGATCTTTCGACAAATTAATGGATTGCCTTAAAGTGGCAACAGGAACTGTAAGTACTATGAAGGTAAGATAATTCTGTCTTTTATTGTGTATTATGGCAAACTAAAGTATTACAATCTAAGAGTAGTTCTAGTAAATTACAAAACCGCCACTTTTCCTTATCATCAATGTGAAGCGAGAATAGCCTAATGGGTAAGAGTATCGAGTTGAACTTAAAAACATCGAGTTCGAACCCAATGGAGTCGTGAATCACTCTTAGCTTAAAACTGATTAACAGAGATATTGAGAATACTAATAACGTATATTGTATACTAGCTTGCCAGGCAGACGTTGTTTTGCCCTTCTCGACGACCCTTTGTCATGTCCTAATAATCCTTAATTTCGCAAAAAAAATTGTGGGTCACTCCTGGACAAAAAATAACTATCCTATCTCTCAAGTTGGGCCAAACTGCACACGGTGTGCAAATTTAATTAAAATCGGTTCAGTAGTTTAGGAGTCCATCGCGGACAAACAACGTGACATGTACTTTATGTATATTAAGATTAGCTTGCCAGGCAGACGTTGTTCTGCCCTTTTCGACGATCTTTTGTCATGTTCTGTTAAAAATTCTTAAATTCGCAAAAAAAACTTATGGGTCACTCATGGGCAAAAAAACTATCCTATCTCTCAAGTTGGGCCAAACTGCACACGGTGTGCAAATTTGATTAAAATCGGTTCAGTAGTTTAGGAGTCCATCGCGGACAAACAATGTGACACGTAATTTATATATATTAAGATTAACATAAGATATCAAAAAACATAACCCTGTAACTTCTGGACAAAGACCAAGCAAATTACTAGGGAGATGTTGGCTATAGCAATACCTGATGGATTCTTGTACGATGCTAACACGGTGCCATTACTGTGCCTATGTAACCGAAATATTAATAATATTTATGTATGTATAATATGTTCATTTTCTCGTATTGTCCCTTAGGTGTATTAAAAGGCGAAAAAGGGAAATTGAAACAGGAAAAAGGAAGTAACATCTTTCTAATAACAGCTGTAAATAATAAAAACTGCGGTGGCCGCCAAGCCACCTATCAAGCGTGGCAACTGTAGTACAAAATTCCTCCCTACGGGGACAAAACCAATGTTCAGCAGTAGACTTTTAGCAGGATGGTATGATAATTATGATGATCTTTATAAAAAAATTGTAAGATAATATGTATATTATGTTAATATCGCTCAGAATGTTAAAAACCAAAACTGTTAAAACCATGTTGCCTTTCACTCTTCGCTGCTATATTTTAAGGATCTTTTGGTGTGTTATAAGATTTATAAAACTAATAAATTGTATTAATACATACTCGTACATTCGCATAACCTGTCTGTATCTACAATTGAAAAACATACGAGGGCGGCACTGAAAATTTCGGGAATCAAGGAAGTGACATGACGTTACTATTTAAAAATGTATTTATTGTTTTTCGGAGTATTCTCCGCGAAATTTGACACATTTCTCCATACGATGGAACCAATAATTGAAGCAACCATTCCATTCGGAAGTTGGGGTCTCCAAAATGGCCGTTATGTAGGCGTCCACAGCTTCTTCAGGTGATGAAAAAGAAGAATAAAAAATAGCAGCAGCTTAAGGAATGATACAATTTTTTCACGTAACCTAAATTAGTACTAATTACTTGGTGGCAGGAATTATTTCCTGCCTAGAAGTTCGTCTGGGTGAGTCCATTCTCTTATCTATTTCTGTGACCACCATTCTTTCCCAAAAAAAAGTATTCCAACCTGAATGGTATAGAGGGCTATTATAACTACAGGTTGTAAGACATCGATACATATGTACTACGCACTATGTTCAACTGAACTGTACTGCAATCCGTACACCTGTTTTTGTTGCTTCGATATTCATGTAGTGCGGAGCGGCGCTTATAGTAATTTTATATTAAATTACGAGTAGCACATATGCAAAATAAACGTTTATATCAACTGCGCATGCGAGTAGTTACGTTGTACCAGTTCTGGCGCACTTGTAGAAAGGTTGTACCAGTTCTGGCGCACGACGTTCGTCGACTCACAATCCTAAAAAAAAAAAAAAAAAGGTTTTGGCATGCTCTGATCACGAATCTGCGGTCCATTTTTGCGTAGGATGCACGGTTCCGGAGATGTGCAGATCAATTAACTCTTATCTAATTGATATCCGCTGCGAGCCTCAACCGTCATTAGCGCTCCATTGTCCTTATCTACTTATCTATTGTTGAATGACTACCGTCATTATCTATTATTCGTCCAGCGTGTGGGTCGGCTTATGCTATTGTATTATACTCCTTTGTTCCTATCTACAACACTAATCTGAATCATCAATAAAACACATTACCTAATTTTGTTAAAATTTTTATTTATGAAATACAAAATCTTATTACTTATTATCTATAAAATAGGAGCGAAACATCTCATCCACTAAAATATCGTTGTACAATGTGTTCTCTGTAAATATACTCGTAAAACTATGCATTGAACATCCCTGAAACTTATATAGCAAATACATTAAGCAATATTCGCCACAAACTGAAGTCCACTCATTCTGAATCCTATCAACATTCCAGTTCCATCTTTTACAATTTCTTTTAAAAAACTCTAGATGATATCGTACAGGTGCCCGTCCGAATGAATCAAAATATTGACCGACGTCATTCGTATCGATATATAAAGATACCCAATGTGACCCTGGTTTATCATCTGTATCCAAATTGCATATTATATACGTTGGTACGTGGGTGTACATGGGTAGTTTATTGGCAGCATAAACATTATTTTCTAGAGTGGGGTGAATCTTTTTCAGATGTTGTTGTACATCTAGTGTATCCATAATATTACTGCTATTAGTAGATTATTACAGTACCAATCTACTCAATGACTAATATAGGAATGATCAATTATAGTGATATCTAAATATTAAATTGCTTTCTTTGTGTTATACAAAACGTATTTGAGTCACCAATACACTGAACAAGACATGACAGGAAGGACGTAGGAATGTAGAGATAACCAACAGAATGTAAGGTAAGCTTGTTGACGCATAAAGATACTATCAATTCTACTGCAGAAATTCTTTAGATTAGAATTATTACTCACTGGTACTATATAAGACCAAGCAACTGCAGTCATGGAGTTAGTGTATGGTCGTTTGACCGCAGTGGATCTATCAATACTACGTTTGTGTTACTTCAACGCATCAAAGGCCATGGATGTAAGTGTTTATTCTATTGACAAACTTACTTTTCTTTCTGTTATTTTCTTACGTGTGTATGATTTAGTGTTAACAAATTATATTTAAATATTATGTGTGTGTATATGGTTAAGCCGTGGTAGCTCAGATGGTTAGCGCAAAATGTAAACTTCATAGTACACGTCCCGGGTTCGATCCCCGCCGGCACCAATTAAATTGTTAATTACAATTTTAAGTGCTGATTTACCACGTGCTCAGCGGTGAAGGAAAACATCGTGAGGAATGCATGTCTGAGAAAATTTCGAAGGCATGTGAAGTTTGCCAACACGCATTGAGGTATCGCAGCGAACATTTCCTAGCCCTAAAACCCTCTCAGAAATGAGAGGAGGCCTATGTTCAGCAGTGGACTTTAATAGGTTGTAACTTTAGCTTTTTTAACTTTTATGATTAAGTGTTAACAAATTGATATTAACATGATAACTGTGTTGTTGCAGAAATCATTGAGCTTCGATGAAAATACCTATAAACAGTATTACTACTCGCCACTCTCCCCTCAAGAAGAGAGTGATGACATCGTCATTAATAATAACACATGCGATGGTGGAAAAAGAAAATCGCAATCGATTGATCATTTTTTTGAAGCTGAATCAAAAATAAAAAAGAGGAAGCTGTTATCATCAACCGTAGCACGAGCCGCTAGAGATGGTGTATCATACATTTCTACTAATTCTGACGACGGAGACCAAGCGACGCATCTCATCAAAATTGAAATGTACGATATGAAGAAGCTATCCAAGATTCCAACTACTGATCATTGGAAACATGCTTCCACGAGGATTAAATATTACGTAAAGACTAATAAGGATAGCATCTACGACAACACAAACGCCCTCGTATACAATATTACAAAGACAATAGCAGAAAGTGAAAAAGTTAAAAAATACTTTTTTAACAATGACAGTCATTAGCTGATCATTAGTGAATGTGATTCTGTTTACTTAAATTACAGGAAGACAAGAGCAGAAGAAAGAGATGAGTGTGGCATACGTGTACAGAACACATCATTGAAGAACAAAACTACAACACTGAGTGGAGATGAAAACGAGAATATGCAGTACTCAAGAGCTGAATATCCATTCTTCAGTTCAAAATCTAGCCGGTTGCTCAGTTTCGAAAACTGGCCTCTCGTTATGCGACAGAAACCTGAAGATCTTGCAGAAGCCGGTTTCTTTTATACTGGCCATGCAGACAGGACCAAGTGTTTCCATTGTGGTGGTGGCTTAAAAGATTGGGAAGATGATGATGATCCTTGGCAGCAGCATGTTCAGTGGTTTAGTCAGTGTGCTTATGTAAAATTTAAACTCGAACAGAGTTTTGTATTAGATTAAATAGAATATTTATAAAGAAATAAAAAATAATATATTGCATACAATTTGTTTTATTTAATTTTATAATGTTTCACATAGTTACATACACACAAAATGCATTACACATAACTCATAAAATCTAACACACAACACATATTATAACCTTAACTACTATAGTCTACAGTAACATTTCTGTTTTTATCTATCTCAATAATATTATCAAACTCAGCATAAACTATACAGTTAATTGTTTGTATTAGTGAGGATTCAAATCGTACTTCTAATCTTACACTACCATGCTTTATGAGATTCCAATGAGCTGATGAGTTGGCTGATAAATCAGGAGTTAAGTCAAATGCTAATAGACAGTAACCTTTGGCATACTGTTCACAAGAGATTCCATTTCCTTCATTAAGAAAGTGAATACCAGTTCCCGAGAATAGAGTATGATATGCTGATGTAAATATGCTATT